ATAAAAGAAAGAGTCACGCGTGCCCCGAGCGTAGGGTTGTGTATGTTTATGACGGGCTCTACATCATAAATAATGCGTGGCAAGAGAAGGATCAAAAGGGCAAGCTCGTGTTTCGGTTCGAATTGCACCGATTGCCCGGCCAACCGAGGCCTCACCAACAAGACAAGTCAAAAATGGAGGTTTGCATGGTTGATGATATTTCCGGAGGAAAAGAGAAAATGCCGATACGGGCGGTGAACAACGTGGATGACGTTAGGCTCCTCCCGAAGTTCGTGTACATCACCCGCATGGTGTATCCCGATTGGTTCAAGAAAGTTGAGCCCGTAGGTTGTGATTGCGTGAATGGATGCTCGGATTCCCACCAATGCCCTTGCCTTGTGAAAAATGGGGGCGAAATCCCGTACAACGAAAACGGGTCTATTTTACAGAGAAAGCGTAGGGTTCACGAGTGTGGGCCCTTGTGCAAGTGCCCTCCCACTTGCATGAACCGAGTGAGCCAACACGGCCAGCGTTATCGGTTGGAGATTTTCAAGACCGAGCTACGAGGTTGGGGTGTGCGGTCGCGTGATCTTATCCCGTCGGGTGGTTTTGTATGTGAGTATTTGGGGGAGTTTTTACGGGAAAAAGAGGCCGACTTGAGAGTGGGCGGAGACGAATATCTATTTGACATATATAATAGCCGTGGGGGACGTGTGGATGGGTTTGCTATAGATGCGGGTGTGTATGGAAATGTTGGGAGGTTTATTAACCATAGTTGCTCACCTAATATGTATGCGCAAGACGTTCTTTATGACCACGCGGACAATAAAATGCCGCGCATCATGTTTTTTGCGACCGAGAACATTTCCCCTCTTCAAGAGCTCACGTACGATTATAACTACAAGTTGGGGATGGTTTGTGATGCGAATGGGAATATTAAGACCAAGGTTTGCCATTGTGGTTCTAGCGACTGCCGTCGGAGGATGTACTAGCAATGGACGCCGGGTTCCTTGTCTTTTTTCTTTTTTTGAATCTTGCATTCCACCATTTAAGAGTCTTTACGAACATAGCCCTTGGGCTCATTTGGGTTTTGTTTTTGATTGAGTTGTTTAAGGTTGTATCTGGTTTTATTGTGCAGATTGTGTTCTTGTTTTAGATTATTCAACTGTTATGTTGCTTACCTCTGCTGGGTATGAATGGTGTGAAAGTTCGTTTCCACATTTGTAAAAGCAAGTTCTTCTCTTCTTCTTGGGAGTGTGTGTGTTCTCTAGTTTAACTTCAGGCAATCTTCTCTTCATATTTTCCTTTGAGACAAGCTTAGGTGTTATTTCTGATCTTTTAACTTTATCTGTTAAGAGCATCATGTTTGAACTAAAACAATATACAAACTTCTTATGTGAGGGAACTAAAACATTGTGTACTAATTTTAAATTGTAATATTTTTAAAAATGAATATAATATAACTTATTATCAATTACGTGCGTCATACAAGTTGTGTTTTAATTTTAAACTAGTACACCACTCGTGTATTATACGGGTGCTTGCTAATTTTTTTCTTAAAATCTAAAATTAATAAAAAAAAGTAGTCCGAAAATTTATTTAAATTTTATAAGAATATATATATTATTATATATTTATTATGACACTTTTTATTTGCGCGACTTACTTGTGTTATATTATACTATTTTTTTTAACTTACAATATATAACTACATTACATATAAATATATCAATTGAAAAATAATTTTATTTTTCTAATGAATTTTAATATATATTATTATTATTTTTATTATAAATATAAATATAATTTATTTGTTTCACATATACAATATGGATGTCAAATCGAAGATCATCAAAAGATGATTAATTTGATATATTATATATGTAAAACCGATAAGAAATACAAAAGTTATCAACTTTTAAAATACATTTATAATTGGGTAATTTTTTTCAACCTCCCAAAGTATGCGATTTTTTTTTACTTTGCCATATAAACTTTTTTTGTTGACACTTTGCCTCCCAAAGTAATCGAAACTGACATTTTGCCTCCTTGATTAAAAACCCTGAAATGACACAAAAATGTTTTAACTCAATTAATGATAAAATTTAAATTAATCTTTAAAATTGATTTAGGACTTTTAAAGTTCATGGCGAGACGAACAAGATGAGGTATGATTTGTCGAATTCTGAAAATTGATACCTCTATAATCGATCCACGAAGATAGTAGGAGCACGTGTGTATAGAAAAAAATTCAATTCAAGTTTTTTGATAATCAAGATAACCGATTTCGGATTGGGATGTGTCATTTGAAAGCTTGGAGGATGAGTTTTCTATAAAATTAAATCTCATGAAAATCCAACGGTCAGATTTTTATCAGTTTCGATTACTTTGGGTGACAAAATGTCAACAAAAAAGTTTATATGGCAAAGTCAAAAAAATCACATACTTTGGGAGGTAAAAAGAAATTTACTCTTTATAATTCAATAGCTTATTGAAGGAAACTAATCAAAATTCAGGGATATATTAGTCACTTAGTGCCTCACTATGTAAAATTACAAAAAATTAAAGGGTTATATTAGTAAAAGTGATATTAAAATACCTAAGTTAGCTAAATAATATTTATGAAATACCCGAACCTAGATTATTAATTATTAATATATCAATATTATTCATCCAAAACTAATTATGAAGCATGATTCTTCGCCAAATAGGATTCCGAAGCACCAGAAGCAGCCACGTAGGCTCAGCGCATTCGAGAATTATATATAGGGAGGATTGACCAGAAATTTTATGGCACCACATGTGGCACCACATGTGACACCATATTATGGTGCCACAACATGATGTGACACATTATGATTGGTGCCACAACATGATGTGTGATAAAGAAAACCAATCATAATGTGCCACATCATGTTGTGGCACCATAATATGATGTCACATGTGGGGCTATAGAATTTCTGGAGGATTGACATACTTTATGTAATTATGCACGATATAAAATGCATATAACATTTTCAATAAATTAATAAGTAAATTATTCCATATTGATTCTATATATATTTTCAATTTATAATTATTATTTGATGAGCATATTTTAATTATAAATATTAATAAATATTTTTTATTCGTTCAGAGAGAGAGAGTATAGAAAAGATTCTCTTTTAAATAATATAATATTTATTAATCATTATAATAATGTTATTAGGAAAGTTACCTATTTGAGGCGCTTAAGTTTACTTGGAATAGGAGTCTAATTGTTAGGAAAGTTTTTCACTATAAATAAGGACCTTAATTAAGCCCTTTCTTCCACTACTTGTTCTCAACCTTCAAGGGTGAGTGTCTCTAGGATTGCTCTCGCCAATTGGATATCGTAAGCTCTTTTGTCTCTTTTATTTGTCTTTGTTATTAATATTTTTAAAGTAGATTTTTTTTTTCTTTTTAACAAATAATGCAATATCATACAATAAGATTTCACACTTTTAAATTAATAATTATTTATTTTAGCTCTCATTCGCTGAGTTTTTATTTTTCAGTTTTTTTAACAATCTTGATTTTTAAGCCATTTGGGTGATAAGTTTTGTAGAAGTAATTGTTATCCTAATAATAAATAATTTTTTTTATCTCAAATATATAATAAGTTCAGTATTATTTTATCTCAAATATCACCTCATATTATTATGTTGTTGTAAAAAAACTAATTTTAATGGATTAATGTTATTTTATTGTTTAATTTAATATGAGTGTTTTTTATTCTATAAAAAATTATACAATATTTACAATAATTTTTTTATGTTTGTTCACGTGTTATGTGATAATGATTTAGTTATCTTTATATTTGTATATGAGCATATATAGTTGTACGCAATTATTTACAATTTAATCATATTTACGAATAAATATATAATATATAGATAAACATAAAATATGTTCAAAAAGTTATTTGTGGATAAAATATTTATAAAGAATATTATAAATAAAATAACGAATATTAAATAAAAAATATAGTTATTTTTAATTATTTATTTTAGTTAATTTCTAATAAAAAATTAATTGTAATATAATAAGGATTTATATTATTTAAAATAAATCCTACCCCAAAACAAAAACAACTTATCTCAATAACTATTCCATCTATCACTATCACTAATCTCGATCTTTTTATTTTTTACATAATTTCCAAGTATATATAATAACTATTTTATTCATTTTTAACCTTTAATTTATATTCAAATTCAAGAAACATTTTTTATTTATTTTTTTCATAATAACTCTGAAGAAGAACTGTAATACACAAATTATATATAATGCTTCCATTCCCAATAATAATTCGATCCAACAATAGTTATAATAATATTAGTAAAATAATTTTAGAATATTCATAAGAACTTTGATTAATATATAAACATTCTAAAAATTTCATAATAAATTCAAATAATAATTTGCTCATTCTACAAATATGTAATAGTTTTTATTTGTGTAATTTTAATTTATCAAACATTAAAAGAGTTTCGTAATAAATTCAAATTATAGTTTGTTTATTTAACAAATATGTAATACTTTTTTTATGTGCATAAATATATAATCGAGTATAATATACGAATAAATTTAATTTATGATAGATGCCACGGTTTCATTGTGCACTAATTCCGTCAGAGTTTGTAACCGTTAGATCATAAAATTGTTAATAAGTGACTAGTGAATATTATTAAGTTGAATCTACTTGAAAATTTTATCCACTGTTTTCTGCTCTCACCCCACACTGTGAATTCCCATCTCGCGGTTACTGAAAATTCAGTAAGTTTCATAAGTGCTTGCGTTTTTCGCATAGAATTTCTGTATGTGCATTCAATTTTTTTCTTTCTTCGTCCTCTATTTTTTACAGTTGGAAGATAAATTTATTTTTTAGGTATTTTGAATCTTATTGTTGAAATTTGGGTTGATTAGTGCAATGTCGATGTAGCTTTTTTCTGGTGGTGAGTGCATATTTGTTGGAATTTTATGATATTGTTGCTATTTTGGGTTGGCTTACTGATGAAACATGAAAGTGTTAAATCCTTCTGGCATCAGAAATCAGGGGCTTCAGTCAGGGCTTAGATTATATACTCGTTTATCCGCTTAACATAATTGTGCCATTATTTATCAGTTAAATTGATTTGAACTCTAAAATTCTTTATTTTGCCTGATTATCCTTCTCATCTTGAGCTTTGGTAAGTTTTACTTAATATTCTACAGGAGACTGAGCCCTCCTCCAATGATGTCCTCCAAAAGATTGTCTGCCAGTGGCGGTTTTAACAGCCAGCCGAGTAGTTTCAAGCACCGAAGGCTGAGCGCCATTCGGACTTTCCCAGACAACTGTGGGCCCCTCGCTACAATATCCCCAAAACCAATTGACGCGCGTGACTTGACATTTGAGCCCCTTGCCGATAAGATAAATAAAAGAGGAAGTGAAAAGTCGGCTAATAGTGCAAAGTATGCGATGGCAATACCAGCCGTGCCATTGAGATGTGTACCACCGCCGGCTAGTTTTGAAAATGACCCGAAAAAATCCGTGCCATATGCGGAAAATGATGATGGTTGGAAAAAAGGAGCCAAGGAGAACGAGAATAATGCGTGTTCGCTTGACGAGTTGTGGAAGCAGGACTCGGACAAATTAGCAGCCATTGTTGCGGAGGCTAAAAGATACTTCAATGCCTTTGATGTTAAGTGTTCTGAGAAATCACCGGACTTGCATAGACGTTCGTCCATCGTGGAACCAAATCCTGAGTTTGTGGAACAAGAAAAAAGTGCGCACGAGAATTTTATAGAAAGCCTTTCTGAGAAAGAAACTTCCGGATTAAAAAACAAGTCGGAAGATTACGAGGATGAAGTTTGCATTTTATCACCCGAGGAGTGGAGCAAATCGCGTGTGCGTGAAAAGATGAACTCTGGTGGAAACCGTGAAGGCATTTCTAGTTGTGAGCCAATGGACACTAAAAGTGAAGAGGAAAAG